ACGAGAGACTATTTGGGTCCAAACTCGATTTTGGGCAAAGGCAAGTGAGGCCCATGCCTCCGGCCCAAAAATTATGGGGGCTTAGTTCAAAGCCACATTCATGTACTGTCAAAGTGTCCGTGCGTGCCTGCGAGAATAGCCGAAACCCATTGTCTGCCTTCGGCCTTTGATTGACACAGTCTTCTCACTTGTCTCTCAGTCGTTCGTCGTCACCGTGCCTCACTACTGCATACAGGATTGCTCGGATATCATTCTTGCATATATATATATAGTTGATTATTTTTGTCATTTATAGTTGATTATCTAATGATGGATTTTTCTTTATTTGATAAATTAATCATTTTTCTTCCTTTTCTGGATATTTATATAAATAAACATTGGTATCATGATTGGAGAAATTATAGTCCTTGTTTGATTTTGATTAAACTAGAAAAAGTTATTTTGAAAACATTAGATTTTTTTTAATTGCGTGTTTACTCTCTGAATTTCTCTCCTTAGTGTTGTTGGTTTTAATTCAATAAATTTTAATTTTAATTTTTCCCTTCAATTTTCAAAAATTATTCCGTCTTTATTACTTAAATTCTCTAAATTAAAAGAATAAAAGAAGATGAATTAATTTTGATTTCAAGATTTTGAATGGTAATCATAAATCAACTTAAATTCTCTAAAGGAAAAAAATTTAAATCAAGACTTATCTTTAATCAGTTATGTCATAAAATAGATTGAATGAATTGACTATATTATCAATAGAGAAATGATTGAACGATTAGATTATTCAAATTTGATTAATATTTTTGTCTCTAAAACCGCAAGACGAATAATATTTAAGTCATTGTTTGAAATATTGTCGACTTTGTTAATTTATTATAATAAAAATTCTTTATATGATACATTTCGTTTGTTGTTTTACTGTTAAATTCTATGTTAATAAGTTAACAATTGGTTTTATAATACACTTATAGATTTCGAATTCGAGATCGGCAGAGAAACGGCCTGTGTGAGCGCGAATCAAGATGCATAATACAATTTTGGGGCCCTAATTTGGGTTTATGTATAACATTCTTATTAGTATTTATAATTCAATTCGATTTTTAACTAGACTATGCATCCTTAAGTGCCTCTCTCTCTCTCTCTCTCTCTCTCAATTTGCTAAAAAAACCTTATATAACATACAATAGTGCTATAGGTACAGAAAGTCTTTCACAGAAATTGTACAGATGGAAATTTGGCGAATTATTATTGAAAGATGACTAAAATACAAAAAAAAACAACCATACAGGTGCTGCCAACACAGCACATGTACAGTTCTGTCTGTTTTTTCCTATACTTACAGAATTATTCTATAACATATTTATCAAGAGAAAATTGGACTTACGTTGGTCCGTCCCAATACATCAGTATGGTATATACAAACTAGCAATTGGTTACAACTTTTAATACACAACAAACATAATCAAAGTCAATGGGAAATTCCACGATAAATGTTGCGGTTGGAAGTTGGAACACAAGCATTGATTAACTTTTTGGATAATGTTTCACCTAAGAGCTTATTTGAGAGTAATTTTAATCCAATTAAAATTGAAAATACAACCGTTATTAGATCTCACTCGACTAATAAAAGTCAACAATAACGACAAATTTTTCAATTTTAATCTAATTTTAATCTCAACCAAATTCGTCAAATTCTTAGTTCATATGCCTTCAAAAGTCAATTTTTGGTCTAGAATGTTTAGTATATTGGATTATACAATACAAAATTCTATAAGTTGGGGCCTGTTTGGTACAGATTTTCATTTTCTACAATAAATCAATTCTCATTTTCAACCACACATTCTTCAATAAAATAATATTTTTCATCATATCAATATTTTTTTCTTCTTTTTCAACCACACATTTCCCATCATATCACTATTCAAAAATCAATTCTTCCCCCAAAAATCCCTACCAAACACACTCTAACGTTAGTCGAATGAGTCTACCCATAACAAAGTAGTAAAAAACCTTATATAACATACAATAATGCTATAGGTACAGAAAGTCTTTCACAGAAATTATACAGATGGAAATTTGGCGAATTATTATTGAAAGATGACTAAAATACAAAAAAAAACAACCATACAGGTGCTGCCAATGCAGCACGTGTACAGTTCTGTCTGTTTTTTCCTATACTTACAGAATTATTCTATAACATATTTATCAAGAGAAAATTGGACTTGCGTTGGTCCGTCCCAATACATCAGTATGGTATATACAAACTAGCAATTGGTTACAACTTTTAATACACAACAAACATAATCAAAGTCAATGGGAAATTTCATGATAAATGTTGCAGTTGGAAGTTGGAACACAAGCATTGATTAACTTTTTGGATAATGTTTCACCTAAGAGCTCGTTTGAGAGTAATTTTAATCCAATTAAAATTGAAAATATAACCGTTATTGGGTCTCACTTGACTAATAAAAGTCAACAATAACGACAAATTTTTCAATTTTAATTTGATTTTAATCTCAACCAAACAAGCTCTAAGTGTATTACTAATCCCCAAAATTCGTCAAATTCTTAGTTCATATGCCTTCAAAAGTCAATTTTTGGTCCAGAATGTTTAGTATATTGGATTATACAATACAAAATTCTATAAGTTGGGGCCTGTTTGGTACAGATTTTCATTTTCTACAATAAACCAATTTTCATTTTCAACCACACATTCTTCAATAAAATAATTTTTTCCATCACATCCATATTTTTTTTTTCTTTTTCAACCACATATTTCCCATCATATCACTATTCAAAAATCAATTCTTCCCCCAAGAATCCCTACCAAACACACTCTTGATATATAATGAATTTCTTGATACGTTACTCTTCTTTAATACGACTCGTCACTATTCAACGTTGCTTTTAAAATGTAAATCCCAATCTCCGTCCCACATCGTCTAAAATTCATATTCAATAATCTCGATGTTAAATTAATTTAAAGTCTACTTAATATTGTGAAACAATTATTAAATATAATCCAATTATCAATTACTACCCTATGTACACCGTACACCTCGACTGTCATTCACATGCACGTAAATCAAAATATTCCAAGCCCGTTAGATAAAGTGGAAAATGCATCCAATTTATTTGAAATTTAATTCGACTTTATTTACGGCAATAACAATATCGTCACACATGCACATCGACTATTGACAACTTCTATTCTTATAAAGAATCAAGTCTTTAGCACGTACTTACTTTTATGTCTGAATCTCTCATCATTATTTTTGAAAAAAAAGAAAGTCGTAAAGAGAGATATTTCGACTTAGTGAATTTTAAGTAGAATGTAAATTGGGAAAAAGTGGTACTATGAAGATTTAAATTAAAACTTGAAAAATCAGTCACAATCCCATAAAATAAAATTTCAGGGTTTTTTTGAATTTTTCTAAAAACAAAAATGGACGAAAATTTGGGGTTGGGACCAACATGAGCCTGTTTGTTTTCGATTAAAATTTGATTTTCATTTAAGTCAAAGTTAAACAATCAATTTTACTCATATCTTTCATGGGTCCACAACTTTTCAACCACATATTTTAAAATTTTTTATCATAATTTACTAAAAATCTACTTTAAATCGCCACCAAATAGCCTCTAGAATTTTTCTTTCCAATCTAAGCTCCAAAAAAAACATAAGATAAAAAAAAAAAATCGATCGTTTACATTTTATGGCTAACATAAAATATTCTCTTTTCACTCCAACAAGCCAACAAATCGTTCTAAACAACTTGCTATGTATGTCATCTTGTGTGTCCTCAACACGTCATGGCTAATAAGTTACACAAAAAATTAGAGCTGTAAGCAAAAATCGTCAAATCGAAAAATCAAATCGAAACCGTATTTTAGAAACCGTCGATTTGATGTCACGTAGACTTGTCAACGAAATTGTTTTGAACCAAACCAAACCGGTCAAAAATAGTTTAGTTTAAGTTTGAGAATTTTAATCGCGGTTTAAAACCAAATCGGATCGGCGAAAAAATATATAAAAATAAAAAAAATGAAAAAAACCGCCAAACCGGACGGGATGGGGGTGCCCCGCCGTAAACCTGTCCTGTTGCCATCTCTAATTTGATTGTGGTTTAATACGACATTCATAATATCACCCTTCAACGACAGTATCATTTTACAGCTTATTTGATGTAGATATTTTAGAATATATTTTGTGAAAATGATATTTTTTAGAATATATATAGTAAAAAGTAAGTAAAAATTATGAATTCAAGTATAAAATTATTGTGTGGTTAGAAATTAATTTTAAAAATCACTATCAAACATGCCCTTAGTTTCACTTTTAGCCCTGTTAAAATTATAATTCATTTTTTTTTCTTATCAACCAGACATTCTCTAATAAAATAATATTACACGTAAAATAAATTTTTTTAACCACACATTCTTAAAAAAGAAAAATATTATTTCAAATATTAAAATAATAAATAATGAGGGTCAAACGGGGCTTAAGTTTGCTCGGTCTTATATTTGTACGAATGTATATAATACACGTATGTACATGTCTACGTACACGAAATATATATGTATCTTCAAACCATTTACGCTTCTTTCGTTCCCACCAAACTGAGGGAAATTTCTTGCATACGCGTTGACGTAGAATAATGGATCTGTTTAGAGTTCAATTTTTCTTGTTCGACTTCTACAGTCACTCTTTCAAATTTCAAGCCTTTCTCTTTTAGATCACTAGTTTCAAAGTCTATATCACTGGCACCAGAACGGCAGAACCAAAAAACCCATCATCCTATTAGAAAATTTCTGTAATTTCACTTCATTTCGATTCAAGATCAAGCTTCCATGATAAAGATTTCTGTAATTTATACCCATGTACACAAAGAGGCTCCTCAGATGAATCACCTGTCGAGGCCCGCGTGTTGTTTTCCAGTAGGAGGTTGAAAATCCAAGAAAAAAGATTAGGTTATCATCAATTTTTGATAATTGGGGTTTGAATTAGCGGTATGACTAGTGTTTTGAGTAGTATTTTGCCCTCAAAAAGGGTGGATAATGAAGAAGATGACTATAATTCGGAATATTCGTTTGCCATGGAATACAGTGGCCCTCCGGTCAGTCGGGATATACCGGAGGTTCTTCCGGTGGATGTTAGGAGGATTCCGACTGCGGCCATGGTTGCTAGGCCTTCCACGTTGAATAATTTATCACTACCAGTTATTAAGCCAATTGTAAGGAGTGGTTATTCTGAAAAGAAATGGTCAATTGACATAAAATTAGGCTCTGAATCTCCAGTTTCTGATGCACATTTAGGTAAAAGTGGGAGTTTTGATGAAGATTTATTGGGAAATTCAGAGGATGGTGTTCATAGAGAAGGAGCATTAGGTTCGACAACTGGGGAATCTAATGAATTATATAGAGGTTCCAGTAGTTCTGGTGAGGATTTAGACGAAGAATACAAGGAGGATCTAGGGTCTGGAAATTGCTCAAACGCCACCAAATCAAAAACTAGATCAGGAGAGTTGGAAGATTGTGCGGATGAAGCTCCCCGTCAAGGCAGTAGAATGCCAGTTGTGACTTTTCGTGACTGTACATCAAGTGATGTAGCCTCTGAAGAAGAAGATGATGGGGCGGTAGTCTTCCCCGAGAGGCCGGTGGTTGTAGATGACATGAGGAAAGGGACGTGTTATAGGTGTCATAAAAGGAATCGGTTTGGTGAGAAGGAAGTTTGCATAGTTTGTGGTGCTAAGTATTGTAGTAAGTGTGTGCTAAGAGCAATGGGGTCAATGCCACAAGGGAGAAAATGTATTACTTGCATTGGTTTTCGGATTGATGAGTCGAGGAGGGGAACCTTGGGGAAATGTTCTCGAATGCTCAAGAAACTCCTTACGGATGATGTAATTAAGCAGATTTTGAGTTCTGAGGTATTATGTGAAGTGAATCAGCTGCCCCCTCGTCTTATCTGTGTAAATGACAAGCCTCTTTCTATGGATGAGTTGGTTTTGTTGCAAAGCTGCCCGAATCCACCAAAGAAGCTAAAACCCGGAAAGTATTGGTACGATAAGGTTTCTGGTTTCTGGGGGAAGGTGAGAATTGTCTCAACAATTCTAAGGAAGAATATTGTTCGTTATACTTTTCAATTCTGTATAGAACTTTATACCAAACATGCAATGAGTCTTTTAAATGAATAAGTGGTTTTTGCTCAATAAACAGGAAGGGGAGAAACCGTGCCAGATTATCAGCCCCCAACTTGGTGTTGGTTATCAAATTAGGCAGGACGCTAGCAATGGAAACACCAATGTACAGATAAATAATAGGGAGATTACTAAACCCGAACTGCGGATGTTGCAGGTTATTGTGCTTTACATCAGGAGGTTTTATTTGTATTTGTAAGCATTTGATTCTCAGTATTTTGTTGATTCTTTGCAGGCAGCCGGAATATGCTGCGAAGGGAACCCTAACTTTTGGGTCACTGCAGAAGGTTTCTGTCAGCATGAAGGTATGAATAATGTGATGGGGAAATTATGGGATAAGGTGAGTCCAAATTTTGCTGACAATCCTTCTTTTTCTTTGTAGTTTTCCCGTTAATCCATCATATGGTTTAGAATAATAAATAAGTTATACTGTTTAACTTTTCTATTCCAGAAAATAGTCAAGATAGTGTGCACTGCTTTGTCCTTGCCATTTCCTTCTAGTACTGCCAATCCCGGTGGCGAAGAAGTCGATAATAACACAGATAAGATTAACTCGAAAAACCTAGATCAGAAAACAACGAATAAACTTCTCCTAGTCGGTACTGATCAATCAGGAACAAGTACCATATTTAAGCAGGTACTTTGTAGCATATTGGATACGGATAATGAAACTGTTTCACTTGTGTAGCATATTAATGAATCTACTTATCCCTTGTTTGATTCCAGGCCAAAATTCTGTATAATGTTCCTTTCTCAGAAGATGAGAGGGAAAATATCAAAGTCGTGATCCAAAGAAATTTGTATAGCTATATTGGTGTCTTGCTTGAGGGGCGTGAGCAATTTGAACAAGATTATTTGGTTGAAATGAGGAGAAAACGTATTGATCAACCGAGTTCTTCTGGTACAAATAAATAATTTGTTTAATTATTTACCTGAGTAAATTAGACCATTTGAAGAATTCACTCGTTCTTAAACGGAATTTCAGCGAGCGCCGGCCATGTGGATGAAAAAAACATTTACTCCATTAGTCCGAGACTGAAAGCATTCTCCAGTTGGCTTCTCCAAATTATGATGTCAGGCAACTTGGAGGCCATTTTCCCAGCTGCTACTCGTGAGTACGCACCGTTAGTTGAGGAGTTGTGGAAGGATAAAGCATTTCAAGCCACTTACACAAGGCGAAATGAACTGCATATGTTACCTAGAGTTGCTAATTATTTCTTAAATCGGGTTAGTTAGTAATGCTTTGTTTGGTTATGTAAACGATCTGAATCAATGTTAACATGGAAATTTGTCTAATTTGAAGGGTGTTGAAATTGCGAGAATGGATTATGAGCCTTCTGATATGGATATCTTGTATGCTGAGGGCATCGCTTCTTCCAATGGGGTTGCGTCGATGGATTTCTCTTTTCCCAATTCGTCGTCTCGGGATAGTTACATGGAACCTGCTGTTGATCACAATGATTCGTCAACAAGGTCAGTTCTCTAGTCTAACAATGCTGGTACTACTACTTGTACTTATGCCTCTGTTTTCAAACAACTTATCAGAAGACAAACTAGCATTGTGGTGTAAGAACTTTCTGTATTAAATTAAATACTCAATGTGGGGGTGGGTTTAGATTGTATTATATGTTCACCAATTTATGAGTTAAGAAAAATTAGTTATGGGAAGTAATCGATCTACTTGATAAGATAAAAAAAATGCTAGAAGAATTAGAGCAGATTGGATGAAATGGAAAAGTGCTTGTCTATGCAGGTATCAACTCATTAGAGTTCATGCGGACAGCCTTGGAGAAAACTGCAAGTGGTTGGAGATGTTCGAAGATGTCGACCTAGTCGTGTATTGTGTTTCCTTGATAGATTACGATGAATTCTACGAAGATATTAACGGAGTCTGCACAAACAAGATGTTGGCGAGCAAGAAACTGTTTACGAACATCGTTAGTCATCCAACATTTGTAGAGAAAGATTTTCTTCTTATACTGAACAAGTTTGATCTTTTGGAGGAAAAGATCGAACATGTCCCTCTAACTCAGTGTGACTGGTTCCAGGATTTTAATCCCGTGATCAGTCTTCATCCGAACAATAACAACAGGAACAACCCGTCTTTGGCTCAACGTGCTTTCCACTACATTGCCGTGAAGTACAAAAGGCTGTTCACTTCAATCACGGGGCGTAAGTTGTTCGTTTCATCGGTTACAGGGTTGGAGGCTGACAGTGTAGATAAAGCTCTTCAATATGGCAGGGAGATTCTGAGGTGGGAAGAAGAGAGACTTACATTCAGCATGACTGAATCTAGCGAGAGTATGGAACCTAGCACATCCATATAGTTTGTTTCATTTTTGGTAGATTTTACATACATAGATGTATATATATTCTCGTGTAGATAGACAAAAGGGGAAAAAAAAAATGTCGTATACACATCCCTTTTGGTCATTTATTGTTATATTCTCGTGTAGATAGACAATTTGCTCTGCCCCTTTTTCGACCATACTCTTCCTCGAATGTTTTAGGTAAAATCTTAAAGAAAATTATAGCTTACTACTCAATGCGACTATTGGTATATTCAATCGGTAGCGGTTTGTCATGTAACCTATCTTGAGTTAGGGATCGACAATGAAACAAAAATACAATTTTGTTTTTAAGAATTTGAACTTGGAAGGATACGAGGAGCGAGTTTTATATTTTAACGAACCTAAGGATATGTGAATTGTCAAAATTTGTGTCTTAAAATGTAGTTAAAATCAATGTATAAAAAATTACATACTTACAAGAATGTCGTGATGTCAAAATTAATGTAGATGGATCAAAATTGAAAGTAAAATGTCTATATTCTGAAAAAGAAGTTTGACTTGGTTGTTAATAAATATTATATTTATAACACGTCTTAAGCTAAACAAAAGGGGGTGTAGCTCATATGGTAGAGCGCTCGCTTCGCATGCGAGAGGCACGGGGTTCGATTCCCCGCACCTCCATTATTTATTGTTTTTCTAAAATTCCTACTGAACATGAATTTAAAGTGCGATTTGATGAAAACAAACCTTACGTTTTCTATTTCATGCTGCACACACATACATGCCAGTTCTCATTGAAAAGATAATAATCAAGATACCAAATTCAAGGACAAAAGCTTTCTACAAGCATAGAAACTGAAGCCTCGGAACACTTTAGCTGCATTTTAACTTGCATGACTTTAGCCAAGATGGATGACTGCCAGAGAGTTGAGCTCCTTTCGTCTGCATCAACTACTGGGCTAGCTTCCCTTTCATGACTTGTTGTGACCGAGCCAGCTTGACCCTTGTTCCGCAGCTTGGCTAGCTGGCTATTCCACATGTCCACAAGCCCAGACATCTTTGATCTTCTGTTCAGTGTATACAATTCACAGGAATATTTTTTCAAGATTTGGATAATTTGTTGATGATACTTTAGTTTGAGATAGGAGTATTGCTTAGAACGGTCAATATATATAATATGGGGGTGGGGTGGGGTGATGATGGATAAGGTGGTTTATGATGGTTAATAGATTAGTGTGTAAATTCTGTGTGCCTATAGAGACAACAGATTCCAAAACAGTAGGTTGCCATTGGTATTTCCCTTTCGGCCTTTCCAGAATCCATAGCCTGAAGGGTTGCCAGTGGGGCCCACTTTCTATAGTTTAGATGAATTCAAGATGTATCCTTATCGTGTTTACTTTTGGAATAATGTTATTCATTCTCACTGGAATTACAAACACAGTTTAGATGGCGTTAATGTGAAAATAAATTATAGGTGAAATTAAATAAGTCATTTAATTTCACATTTCATTTAACCTATCATTTAAAGTTACCTAAACTGTGTTTTCATCCCTACTGGGGATGAATAACATTACTCAACAGAAAATGTGAATTGTTAGGGTGTATGACATCTAGTGGGCCACCTAATTCTGATAGAGAAATGCTATTCATCCCTATTGGGGATGCATCCCCAATCTATGTGGCGTTAATGTGGCATTAAATGATAGGTGAAATTAAATAAGTCATTCAATTTCACATTTCATTTAACCAATCATTTAGAGTCACATAGACTTGGGGATAAATAACATTACTTTTATGCAGACTTTGAGTGTGATTAATGCACATTAAAATGGAAAGAATGTATTTTTTTTGTGATATGATGGTGAATATGCGGTTGAAAAAGAAGGAAAAATTACTTATGTGATAGAAAATATTATTTTATTGAAAAATGTGTGATTAAAAATGAGTAGAAGAATGTGAATAAAAATGAGAATGTGGTTCAAACATTAACTTAATCAAAACTTTTTAATTATAACACGAGATCAATTTTTTCAAAAATGAGCCCATAGAGAGTCCACATAAAAGGGCAATTTTTTAAAAGGGTAAAATAATAATTTTACAATTTTAATATAAAATAAAATAATAATTATATTAAAAATAATAATAATAAAAGGCTCTCTCTCACCCTCTCCTTCACACACCCCCTTCCCATCTCATCCCATTCCAAACGCCGACACCACAATTCGCCTCGAGATCGGCATTGGCAAACTTTAAATTCCCCAAATTCCTGAAAGCAAAAAAAAAAACTCGATTCTGTTCGAAGTTTAAATCTAAAATTACTATCAGGCCCATGTGAACAAACCAAGTAGCGACATTTAAAATCGTTGGTGGAGGCTTATTCCGTGTCTCGAAATTCGGATCCATTTTTTTCTTCATCTACCCGTTGGAAAGTAGTTCCAAAAAGCCCAGCAATAAATTCAACGGCAAACAGAGACCTTTTTAGCGACATTTAAAATCGTTGGTGGAGGCTTATTCCGTGTCTCGAAATTCGGATCCATTTGTATAGATAAAATTTAAGTCAATTTCAAGTGTAAATGGGGATTTTTATTGACAAATACTTACAAACTACGAATATTTTTATCAAATGAGATATTTGAAATGTGAAGTTCCTCTTCCTCCTTTCCCTAAGGATACCGTTCTCCTTTTTTTTTTTTTTTTTTTATAGGAAATGATGTGCCTATATCTTTCATATTCATGTCTTGTCACAGCAGTATCGAGTTGGGAACTTGTACTAATGACTTGAGTCCTGATTGGTTGTTGTCAAATCAACATACAGCACCGAGCTAGAAAGGTACGCCAATGACATATCCTGATTGGTTGCTGAGGTTGGCTCCATCAAGTTATCATGAAGCCACCTTAAATGGGGTCCCCAATAATTAATAAACTGATTAGAGAATGAAGTTATAGCATATGATTGGTAGAATTTGTGGACGCTGACGTAAGTGCTTCCAAATGTCATTAATTGATTGAATGTTTTGATAGTGTGTAAGTAATCTACAATTATTACGTCCTCTTAAACCACGAAGGTCATGAATACGAGCCAACCTTACAGATTTGACCTGAATTTAGCATGAGCTAAATGCATATAACAAGCAGATTTAATTAGATCTCATGTCGAATGTCAACCGAATTTGTTTGGCTTTTAAATCAGTGATTGCAATAAATGAGAGGGGAAGAAAATGATAGGGTTAGCAATATTTTGTTTTTTCCTAGTGGGAAGTGGTGTGTACCCAAAACCTGGTAGAGTACAAACAATTTCCAGTGCCACGTCTTTTTTTATGGGTGTTACTATGTGTAGATATAATCGGAATAATTTAGAAAATAAGATGATAATTTTACTATCGATTTAGGTATTTCTTGGGATTTTGCATTTTATTGCTGAATGGGACACATCTTGGCGGGATTTTGCATTTTACTGTTGATAATTTAGGGAAAAAGATGAAATTGTCGGCGTGGAGACGACAGTGTTGTGATGAATTTAGGGAAGAGGATTAAGTTGGGGTAGGGTGGGTGAATTTTGGTTTCTTTTCTTTTATTTCTTTTTTGTTTTTTAACCCCGTTTGGTTTTGGTTAAAATCTAATTAAAATCTTAATTTAAAGTCAACAATTAATTTTAACCACATTTCATGGGATTTACAACTTTGTAACCATACATTTCATCAATTTTTATAAAAATCTACTAAAAATCTCTATCAAACTGAGGCTTAATTTAATTTTTAATTATTATTTTATGGATAAAATGTAAAGTTGTCATTTTGCCTTTTTTAATTTGGTCAAAATTCACTTTTCTTGGTCAACTGGACTCCAGTTGTTAATTTCTAAAAGGTTTGGTATCGTGGATGATACAAATGAAAGATTTGGGTTAAATCTGCATAAAAGTGAAAGATTTGATATAATGATTGCAATTTTCCCTAATTCTTGAATTTTTGCTAGTATGTTCATATGAAACATATTTGGTTCAATTAAAAAATTTAATTAAAATTTAAGTCAAAGTCAACCCTAAATTTCAATCACATATTTGTGGTGATTCATAATTTTTCAATCATACATTTCATCAGTTTTTATCAAGCTATTAAAAATCTAATTTTTATCTAAACCAAACAGGGGTATAGTTGTAATTTTTTGTAACGTATTGATCCCAAGTAGATGATGATTTTGTTCACGTTGACATTAAAAATGTTTAAAATATTTAGTTAATCTACCTTCTGAGAACATTAATTAAAATGCAAAAATTAAGAATATTTATTGAATAATCGAGACTCATGATGACACAATATTATAAGTTGAACAATCATTCCTATGATACAACGATCGAATTACTTGCTCAATAGTAACAAACGATTTTCAGAACTCCTAAATTTTACTCCATAATAATATCTCGGGTAATTGGCGCAAAACGTGCATACCTTTGAAGGTTTTTGTGGAAAACCTTCATGCTTTTCGTTTTTTGGCGCATAACGTCTTTACCTTTCATATTCTTTGCGCTGAACTTCATTTTTACCAATTTTAACATAAAATGACCATTATACCCGCATATACAAATAAAACAAAAAGAAAAGAAAAGAAAAATAAAGAATAAATTGCAATCTGTTCCTAAACTCTTTTAAAAATGCAAATCAGTCAAAAAAGTGGGATTTTTTTTGCCTTTTTTCAACTCAAATGAGTCCAAATTCTGGCAGCCTCCGGCCACCCAAGCCACCAGACGTTGACACTGGTCAATAGTCCTCCAATTCTCCCTTCAATTACCACCCAACCACTCCCAATTTCATCAACTGTAGTGGTCGGAATTAATGCTGAAAGTTCAGTGTCCTCAAATCTAAAAATCGTCGAAAAATACATTCCGGCCACCCCCATGATCGGAACTTACCTCCTATCAATTGCCTATCACCAAACGACCACACTCATACCAACAATTTACAACAAACATCAACAAAAAAAATTAATTTCATGCCAGATTCTTCGCCAGTTCCGACACAACCTGTGAACTTCTCAAATTC